GCCTAATTTTTTGTATTATTCTACTAAATATGTGTTTAGTCAAACACAAAAATATCATCTAATTTTAAAACAATTTTAGTTATTACTCCCACTATTCCTTTTTAGTGACTGTTATTTTTATAAAATTTGTACATGCCTAATTTTATGTATTATTGTACTAAGTATGTGTTTAGTCAACCACAACAATATCATCTAAATTTAACGCAATTTTAGTTATTACTCCCACTATTCCTTTTTAGTTGTCATATTGCGCTTTTTGAGAGTCAATTGACTAATTTTTAAAGTTAATTTAGATTACACTTATTTGATATTTTGAAATAATAATTTAGATATTCAAAAACTATACGAAAAGTACTATAAATTGCAATTTTTTTCATATCAATATGATGGAAAAATACATCTGAAAATGTTAGTTAAAGTTTATATCGTTTGACTATTAAGAAGAAAATAGCAACTACTACAAAAGAACGGAGGGAGTAGTTCACAAAATAGAAAATGTTGAACTATGTAAAACTAATTAAGATCATATAACATCTAACATAATCAGAGTTGCTGACATAGAATTAGCGTTGATACTTATAATATTAGAAAATTTATTAAACACCTAAATAGGACTAACTTGCTTTTTACCAACAAAAAAAGGGCACAAGTATATAAATAATGATGCACCACATTCAAGGCAACTATGCTATTCCCATGTATACATGTCTAGTAACGCCATTATCATTAGAATGTGATACATAATCTTTAGGTTTATTCAAAAGTATGTACTTTTAATTTGGTTAAAAGATGCAACAGGAATATAACAAAAAAATAATAATTCATTTAATACACCAAATACCTTTTCAAGAAGTAGCATATATTAGGAAACTAGGATTACCTCCCCATGCCGGTTCACTACTAAATCATCAAAAGCTCAATTATGCTAAATCATGATTATAACTTCTAAACTCTTCGTGTATGAAAAAAAATGAATGAAAAAGTTGGGTATATTTTATTAGGAAAATAAATCCTTGATTGATTACATGTACATCGACATTTCAAAAGTTAATATTGCAATAAAGATCGGAAGATGAAGCAATTCAAGATTGACTTAAATAAACATAATTAAGTACTAAAGAAGTGATACAAAGTTCAAGAAATAGTAAATACACATTATTAAGTCTACGGGAATTCAAAATACATGTTTCACGAACTATAAGGAGAAGCCTAAACATCCAAGTTATTCATATACTAATGACATGCAGTTAAATGTATATAATATCTTACAATTAACTGATTTATTAATTGTATGAATTGTATTTACTACAACTTTTGGGTTTACTAGTATTGTATAGTATACTATAATATTATTTAATTACTACTATCTAAATATAATTATATAAATATATTATAACATTTTAATTTAGAGTAGCTTGTTTTAATGGCATTATTGTAGTAACTCAATTTTATAGGGATATTTTGGTATTTCAACTTTCAACTTTTTTTTATTCCCACTTATAGTAATATTAGTTCTGAAAATGTGTGTTGCACGTTTATCCCAAAATATTTCATATAGATTTTGTATTGCAAATGACATATTTTCTCCGCTTCAAATTTATTGGTATTTACTAAAAAAATCCATTGTTTTTACAATAGAAAGTACATATATCTTCCTAAGAAAAAGGATACATCCTTAATTATAAAATTGACTAAAAGTGCATAAAGTAAAAATAACTAATTATTGTACAAATACAATATTCAAATAAGTATACTAAAACACCACATGCTAGGTTAATGTATACAAAGCAACAAACCATTGTAAATTCTCAATATTATTAATAGTAAAATAATAAAAAGTTATACAATAACAATAAACAAGAAACATAAACATTAAAAAAGCAAATAAAAAGAGACAAGAGAAGAGCATAAAGATTTTTCTCTTCTTTTTTTTTCCAACTGTTTTAAGTGAGTACAATATTGTGTCAAATGTCACTATTTATACGAGAGGATTGAAGAACACTTCGAGTTTTTTTTTTTAATCAAAGACCCCAAGGCTATTTTATTAAAACAAAGGAATATGTACAATTAGTGGCCCAACTAGCCAAAGCCCAGAAAGGAAAAGGAAAGTAACAATCTGGAAAAAATACAACAGTACACATGAAGTTTCTAAAGAGAACTCCATTGTCGAAGTAGAGCTCTCAAGCTCGCAATCGCAAAGAGCCACGAGGAAGAGGTTCTGTGAGAATATTTCTAGCAGCTCCAATTCTTCTTAATCAATGCCTTCCAACTTGAGAAGTCAAAAGAAACGGGTCTTTTCTTAGATCTTAATTTCAACGGGATGAATCCCAAATGAGATTGATACCACCATTGACATTTTAATCTTCAAAAAGATCTCTAATTTGAAACGTTTTTGAGGTTGGAATCGAATTACTTCAGGGCCATCTGCTCATGCTTGTCAAAGTTCTACGAAGCTGAATCTTCCAGAGAAACAGAGGTATGACTAGAGCTCTGCAAATCTATATTAACACCTTAGTCTTGATACTCATTTCTTTAATGGATTGAACCCACATAGGTTAATACCACCATCTTAAGAAAAGAGTCTCAAAACTAGCGAAAATTATTGGAATATGTGACATAAGAGAATAAATACTAACAGAGATTTTAAAAAATTCCTCCTACTATTGACCTGTGAGTCTTGGTTTCATATCATTTGTAACACCTCAAAGCTCTCACCAGGTGCATGATATAGTAACCAACAAAAAATAATTTAGACTTCACAAAGTACATTAATAGGTTATATCTTTTAAAATCAGTATTAGTATTCATAACATAAAGATGTACCAGAAGCTATGATTTTCTAAGTTGTGAGCCTTGTAGCAACATGCTTGATTCTCATGTTTGGTAAACTTAGTTTATCAAGATTGATAATCTTTTTTCCTTTACTTGGAACATCTAGAAAATTCATGTATTCCACTGGACCTGCAAAATCAAAAACCAAGTTAGCAAAATAGTCGACAAGAGTATTTCCCTCCCTTAAGGAGTGTTGTACTCTTACTGACATAGTCTCCATAAGCCTCTTAATGGAATTGACCTCCATAGTTACACTTCAAGGGACTTTTTTTTTGATAACCGAGAAATCCGTCTGTGACCCGCCCTTTGGACCAATCACAGCCTTCTAAACTCGGTGGATAATGGGCCCGCCCCTCTACCCTTCTCCACTTAAATACCGGGCTTCGCTTTGCATGGTGTGGGGCTTGAACCTGCGACCTAAGCCACAAATCCTCCACCTTTTGCCACTTGAGCTAGGCCTTGGGGGCTACACTTCAAGGGACTTCCCAAGCTCCATTAATGATGTTTACCAAAGCCAAGGAATCAGATTCTATAATGACATTAAATAATTCATTCTCCCAGCAATATTTTAAGCCTTCTCTTACAGCTACAACCTCAGTTACCAAGTTGGTTGAATCAGGAATCTTCAAACCCTTAGCCCCCACTAGATCTCCATCAACATTTCTTACACAAAAAGCTGCAGTACTAGGACCTGGATTATCTCTTGAAGCCCCATCTGTGTTACATTTCCACCAACCAATTTCTGGTGGTAACCATTTCACTAGTTTGTACTGAAAATTTGGCCTATAGCCATCCAACAAAGCTACCATATAAGGCCAAGTTTTAGGAATCTCACTATAATGAAACTTCGCTCTAATAAGCTTCTGAAGAGTACTATTAATGTCCCACAATACCTTTTCTACTGAGTAAACTCCACCATGAAATACTGTGTTTCTCCTCTTCCATAGATACCATAAAACAATATTAGGAATAGCTTGAAAGATCTCCTTTTGTCTAGAATTCCCATGAGCATCCCACCATTTTTTCATGGTTTGTTTCACTTGAATCTGAGGGCCAATGATACCAGCTGCATGTGAAACATAATTCCAAACTTTGGTAGCTATTTCACCTTTAAGAAAAAGGTGTTCTATAGTCTCTCTAGCTGGGACTATACAACAAGAACATAGTTGAGAAATGTTAGGGTTCCAGTTAGCCAACACTGCTAAAACAGAGACCCTGTTAGTCCATACTCTCCACCCAAAAAAAGAAATTTTAAAAGGAAGTCCTTGCACCCACATCTTCTTAAAATATTCTATAACTTCTCCTTTTTTTCTTAGAATTTCCCAGGCACTCTTTACTGAAAATTTACCAGAATTTGTCTTGGTCCACCATGGTTTATCCTCCTTGGCAGATTGCTTAACATGATCCATATGATATCTAACATGATCCACAATGTGTTCAGGTAAATAATTCTGCATTTCCTCATAATCCCATCCTGTCTACTTCATAAACATCTCAATACTTGTTATTGGATAACAAGAAAGAACATCTGATTGCTGATTGTATAAAGGACCAAGCATTGTCCAATTATCATACCAAATAGAGACTGATCCTCCGTTAGGTTCCCACCATATGTGTTGTTCAATGCAATCCCTATTGTGAAGCATATTTTTCCACTGTTGAGACCCACCTCTCCATTGTACCAGCGAAGGAATTTGTTTCTTACAATACTTGTTCCAAATAAAGTTAGCCCATAAAGTGTTCTGTGTTCTAAATTTTCACCATAATTTAGCATACATTGCTTTTGAAACATCCAACATAGATTTAAAACCTAGCCCTCCTTCCTATTTAGGCAAGCAAACTTTATCCCAAGCAGCCCAATGCTTACTCCTACCAGTGACCTTATTACTCCAAAAGAATTTAGCAAAGATTCTATGTAATTCCTTGACAACACACATAGGAGGAACTATGGCTGAAAGCACATGAATAGGAACACTTTGTAAAACACTAGTAATTAGTACCTCTTTGCCACCATAAGATAACATATTTCCTTTCCAAGCTTGAAGTTTAGTCTTGACTCGCTTAATAAGATCAACATAATGTTCTTTCCTCTTTCTCATATGAGTTATGGGACACCCTAGGTATTTCAAAGGAAAGTGACCTCTAGTAAAACCTGTACACTCCTCCACCTATTGTATCACTTCAGCTGCTGCATTTTGAGGTAGATAATAAGCACTCTTATCCTTATTGACCTTCTGATCTGATTGGACCTCATACTCCTGCAAAATTGACACTATTTTCTCCAAAGAATACTTATTAGTAGATGCAAATATAATAGTGTCATCTGCATATGAAAGATGATTCAACTTAGCACTCCACTTAGGTAAACCATACCCTACAAATTGACCATCTTCAAATAAAGAATTTAAGGCCCTGCTTAACACTTCTGCTGAAAGAATGAATAAAGCAGGGGACAGAGGATCACCTTGCTTCACTCCCTTAGTAGAATGAAAGAATCCATGTGATTGACCATTAACCAAAACTGAGTACCAGTTATTTGAGATTAATCTCCAAATCAAATCAATAAATACTTCTGAAAATCCCATTTTCCTAAGCACTTTTATCAAAAAATACCAAGATACTCTGTCATAAGCTTTAGCCATATCAAGCTTCATGATAACATTGATAGGTTTACCCCTCTTCCTAATATCAGTAACAATCTCTTGAGTCAGCAACACATTCTCAATGATACTTCTACCCTTAACAAAACCTGATTGATTCGAAGAAATCAATCTAGGTAGAAGAACTTCTATTCTATTATGAACAATTCTGGAGAGGACTTTGTTAATGAAATTGCTCAAACTAATTGGTCTCAGATCTGTAAAATCTTGTACATTTTCCTTCTTAGGTAAAAGAACCAAATTAGTATGAGTAATATATTTAGGAAGAGTGTTACCCCTGAAAAAATCATGCACCAATCTGAGGATATCGTTCCCTACTATTTCCCAATAGCTTTGATAGAATCTTCTCGTTAGACCATCTGGACCACTAGAACTATCGCCATTTAGTTCAAAGATAGCCCTTCTAACTTCAGTTATATCTGGTAGTTTACAAAACTCTGAATTTTCTTCCTTCCTGATAGATTCTAGAATATGAGTAAGAAGTGAGAAAGATGTGGCATCTCTATCTTGGGAGAATTGATTGTGATAAAAATTAACGGCTTCTGCTGCTATGTCTTGCTCATTCTCCAACCACGTCCCTTGATTACTCTTAATCCTTTGCAATCGAAGTTTCTTCCTTCTCCCTTTCACAATACTATGGAAGAACCTAGTATTTCTGTCACCATTCTCAAACTAGTCATATCCTGCCTTCTGTTGCCAGAAAATCTCTTCAAAATGAAGATATCTTCTATGTTCAGCTTGCGCTCTTTGCAGTACTTCTCTATTTTCAGCTGTAGGCACCTCATCAAACAACTTTTCTTTAATCTTCACAATATCTTCTCTAATTATGAGTTGCTTAAAAATATCACCATAAGTATCTCTACTCCATTTTGTCAATGCTGATTTTACCTTCTTGATATTCTCTTTGAAATCTAGGAAAGGATTCTGAGAGTCACCGGAGGACCAATTTTGTCTAACAATATCCTTGAAAGAGTCATTCTCAGTCCAGAATTTAAGAAACCTAAAAGGTTTCCTATGTCTGTCCTCAGTAACTTCACACTGTAACAACATAGGAGCATGATCAGAGCCTGTTCTTGGTAAATGTTCCACCTCTGTATGATTAAACCAGTCTTGCATTTGTTGATTGATTAGAACTCTATCTAATTTTTCGAAGATACAATCATTACCAGCCCTACCATTCCACCAGGTGAACGGACTCCCTTTAAATTGTACTTCTGTCAAATCAGAAGATGATATGCAATTCCCAAGTCTTCACAATCAACATCATTAACTGGTAAACCACCAATCTTTTCTTCTGAATTTAGTACCACATTAAAATCACCCCCAATCAACTAAGGGTTATCCATTCCTGCTGCCATTTCATATATATCATCCCAAAGGAGTAGTCTTTGATCAGAATTGCACTTAGCATACACTAGAGTAACAAATAAGTTGTTTGTAAGACTATGATGCTTTAATGTCATGGTTAATTGTTGATCTGTATCCTTAATGATGGTAAAATCTACATCATGGTTTGTAAAAAACCAAATCTTGCCATTACAATTTATTGTAGCATTTGACATCCTCAGTCTCCTTCTATATTTGTTGATATGTCTAGAATCTTGAAAAGGTTCCATTAAGCCAATGAATAAGAAATTATGGAACTTGTGTAGCATTTGCACTATCTGAAAAGCTTGTTGAGATTTTACTGATCTTATATTCCATATGAATGCCTTCATTGATATTTTTTGGGGGTTTCTCTGGTTCGCTTTGGTTGTACCCTGATAGATTGAATATGCTCTCCATTGCCTTGTTTCTTCCCTTTTCTAGCAGCCTTCAAAATCCTTGGTGACAGATCTGCTTCTGTAGAAACATTCTCCAGTAAATCATCTGACATCTCTGCTTCAGTGATACCTTGAGCTATTTGATTTAAATATGCAGCTTCTGCAATAGGGGTTTCTCCAATATTATGAGATACTATATCATGCAAAACTCTGTTAGGAGATTTCATCCTAATCATCTGTGACTTATCTATCTGCATAGCCTCAGGTATCTCTACCAATGCTAATCTATCATTTTCATATTCAATCTGCTTAATCTCTCCTCCATCTACTAGGCAAATATTGGTACTATTGCTAACCTCTTTCCCATGGTCTGGATTTCCTGGAAGTGCTTGGTTATTACAATTATTGCTGCAACTATCAATAACATGTTCCCCTTTTACTTCTTCTGTAATCTGTATCTTCTCATTTTCCTCTGTTGAGGTCATCTTAACATTTGTTTCTCCTTTGAGCTGCTCTACCTTGTTGATTTGTTGTTGATCAGGTACATTATTCACTGTTGAAGAATTTTTACCCTTGCCCGGACTACTCACCACTGGCGACTTTTCCTTCTGCAAGCTGGGACAAAAAACCTTAGCGACCCAGCCTTTTGTTGACTTGTTACATCCTTTCTCATTATCTTCCTTGTTAGTTTGTTGATGGCTGCTCATAATATTTGTATTGTTACCTTGAGTACTACAGTCTGCTTGCATAGTTTCTCCACTAACCAAAGCTTGGAATTTATTAGCTACAACGAGAGGAGATTGTTTGTTACTATTAACAAATATCCTCTTGTCCTTAACCACATTCCAGTTGCCCGGATTTCCAACTACTCTTCCACTTGAAAGCACTTTGGATTTTCCGGTTTGTAGTCTTGGAATCTGCTTTGGTTGAGTATCCTGCATGATCTGAGTGTTTTGAATATTGTGATTCACATGCTGAAATTTGTGTTCTTCCTTACCTTTTGACTGTTTGAGAACTCGACAATCTTCCCTATCATGTCCTTGCATTTTGCATTCACCACAGTACTTTGGAACATAGTCATATTTGATCTCCACCATAGTAGTTCTCACTTCTCCGGTCTTCTCATCTTCAATATTCATCTTCACCACCTTAGGAAAAGTCCCTTTTAAATTCACCAGCACCTTCACTCGCGCACAACTAGGTCGTGTCTTATTAATCGTTGCTTGATCTAATTGGATTGGTTTACCCACTACTGCCGCAATAGAAAATAAGCATTCTTTTACAAAGAAGGTGGGCAATAGGTTTGGAAAAGATATCCATGCCATAGCCATTGAGGTTTCTTCATTCACTTTAAACCTCGAATCATAGATCAAAGTTCTCATCAGATAGGCGTATCCATCCTTGCATGTGATATAAAAAAGCACCCTTAGAGATTAGGTTAACGAAATCATCTTGTTGGGATAATCGAATAAGAACATGCTTGTTGCGAAACAAGCCAATTTGACAGCCTCCTTTTATCCCACACTGCTGAGGAATTAAATTCCTCAATTCCTCCATATTCAACCAATCAAAAGTAAATTTACCAATAACCGCATATTGGAGATCTTCAATTTGAGTCATTTGATTCACTTCTTCCTCCGTCATTTGAGGAACTCCTTCTACTATAGTGATCTCTTTTCTAAGGGAATCATGAATTGGCTGGACTGTAGATTGATTAATGGTATTTGCAAAAGATAAATTAATAGGTAAATTAGGAACACAAATAGGATTTAAATTTGGCTTTGGATTGAGAGGCGGGAAATCAGAAAGAGACAAAGAGTGAGTCACCACCGGCGGTGGCTGCCCACCGGCCAATCCAACCATGCTTTCAAAAAGAGCGTAATTTAAGAAAAAAATCCTTAAAAAAAATTTAAGTCTGTCACATTTTAAGTTCGTCAGTAATTTAATTTATTGATTAGTAACTGAAATCTTAACATGGGAATTACATCTCTTCGAGTTATTATGAATATGACATTAATTCATTTGATCATGGATGAGAGGTGGGAGTAAAAACCATAATTAATATAATTAGTGGGAGTTACATATATTTACATAATGAAGAGTTAGAGGTAATACAATCTATGTAATGTACTTCACATTAATACAAATATTTATATACAAAAAATAATATAATATAGTTCTATATGATTTTTCTTCTTTTTGTTAAGGGCAAACATACCCATTCATATTTTCAATTGGAAGATGAACAAAACAAATAAATTATGAATTTAACTTCAACATGAAATTAATAAAAATAATACATTTTCAAGAAACTTTATGTTGGTTGATTCATGTACTAATATGATGATTTACTATTCAATATTTAATTTAGTAATAGTTTATAACATTTAAATTTAATGTAGGGATAAAATTGTAATCTAACTTTTGCCTAACATTCTTTTATATATATTTTGTTTTGGTTAAACAGGATATATATATATATATATATATATATTAATAAGCGCCCTTACATTACGGAGTTTGGGACCTGACTATTGTCAGGATCCAAAAGTACAGAAAGATTTTCAAACGATGCTAGCTCATTACAAGTTAACAAAGATACTAATTTACTAGATGACAATCCTTGTTTATCTGCAGCCACAATGTGTCGCAGAGGGGCTGGTGGAGTGACAAGGATGATCTTTAGGTTAGACACTGCTAGCTGGGCTCCATGTTTTGCGAGGACGTCTACAACCTCGTTGGCCTGTCGAAAGCTATGTCGGATCGTTGGACTCCCCAACTTCCTCAACAGTGACCTGCAAGTTAAAATCGCAGTGTTATAGACTGGATTTATATGATCTAATAAGTCTAGTAGGTCTGTGGAGCAGGATGAATTTTATGATCCCAAAGAAGCATAAGGCCATGCTTAAGGGCATCTATTTCAGCAAAGATATGATTTTGCGCATTAACCTTGGAGGAGAAACCAATCACCCAATCACCTTTGCAGTCACGTACAACCCCATGATTTTGCGCATTAACCTTGGAGGAGAAACCAATCACCCAATCACCTTTGCAATCGCGTACAACCCCTCCAATTCCACTCAAGTTGGCCCTATCATTTTGAGAGGAAAAAGCGCCATCTATATTAAGCTTAAAGTAGTTTGTAGGTGGGGGGTTCCAGTGAATAGGAATGGTCTTACAGGCGACATTATCACAGGGATGATTCGTGGTAAGAATGTATTCTGTAGCACGATCTATGACTGTTTGCGCATTCAAGAAAGAGGAGCCTTTGTTATTCTTTTATATATATATATATATTTAATATTATCATCTTAGTTTTCTTAATCAATTGTTAATTATGCTGTTTTTTTGTGTGCATGGTTCATAAGAAGTTGGTATTATTGGGATTGTATTATATTTGGTATTATTAGAATTTAGAATTGTTGGAAGGCTAAAAGATTGTAATTTATTCAACTCCTAAATCTTGTAGCTCTTCATTTTTCTACTTTCTGGTAATTAAAATTCAAGTTTCACAATGCCTCTTTTTTGGCATAGACAAGATAAAGATTTAGACTTAACATTTTAAGATCCAATATGAATGAAACTACAGCTGCTACAGGAAATTAGATCCTTTATAATACTCTTCTCTCGAACTAATTAGAGAGAGTGATTTAATAAATATAACTCGTGAGGATTATTTAAAAAACAGTTCCACAAATGAACTGAAATCAACATATATATTTTGATTCCTACTTCACGCGAGTAATCAACTATTATTATTAGATAATTAAAATCAAAGAAATTAGCAAGTCATAATATTCTTGCAATTAACACAACTTCCTCCTCTTCTTCAAATCAGAAAAATCAAACATCTTAATGGAGTAATACTCAAACCTAAGTAACTGAATAAAAACAATGGAAAAAAAAGGAAGAGCTAGCAGCTTAAATGTTGAACAAAGACGTCCATGATGTGATATATATATACTTTTCATTTGTTCATGCCAATAACATATTTAACTGCATCTTTTACCCCTTGTGTCGTGGCATAATTATTAGCAGCCCAAGAATCCCTCATAATCAGACACAATTAATAACTTAAAACATATGGTTAAGAGAGACGATATATGAGCAATAGCAATGAAACCCCTTAACAGACACATTGAAGATAAATAATGAAAAAGAAGGAGAGGAGGAGGACAGGTGGTATTGAAATTCCGGAAGAGAACCTCAATGAATTTACCATGATTCACTGATATGGCAATTTATAAAATTCTTAAGCTATAGTTGGAAGTTGAAAAGTACTTCCAAACATTGAATTAATTTAGTAAGATGAAAAGTTATTCTAGAGTATTGAAAAGGCTGAAATAAATGACAATTGCAAGAAAATTAATCCACCTCTTTGTTTACCCAATTAATGATTTTCTTAATTAATGATAGAATATTTAATTAATAATATTTTGTAATAATTTAATTTAGTGTAGGACTAAAATGATAATCTAACTTTTCACTTTGGGGCTTCCCACTTATAGTAATATATAATGATATGATGTATATGACATAGAAAGATGGGAATAAAATTATTGAACTTTCTTATTCCACAACAACAAATTTTCCGGATTTGCCAACGTTTGAGGGTTTTGTTCTGTAATCATCGTTTCTCTTTGATTCTGATGCCTTTTTATTGATCTAATCCTTGCATCTGTGAATTTTGTGTTGGTCTCATTGTGTAATCTTTTTGTGTACCTACAAAACTTAACAAACTGTTAGAGTATAAGTAGTCCGTGTTGTCCTTCCTTAGGATTTGAACTAGAGCCTTTTATCCACCCTTCTACTCTTCTCCTATGTTACTCATCTTCTGCAGGGTCTAACCCTCATATAGGGTTCCTTCAATTTGTCACTATTGATTATCCTCCTGCTCCCTACCTCCAATTCTTGGAAATTAATGGCTATAACTGTCTAACTGGTCCTTCATCAAGGGCCAGGTTGGCTAGATGATCAACCATTTTATTTCCTTCTCTGAGGATGTGGTTGTAAAGAACCGTTTTGCCTATCATCAATCACCTTATTTCCTCCACACTAGTTATTACTCCCCCCGTTCACTTTTACTTGTCACTTATTCCTAAATTAGATTTTCATTTTTACTTGTCATTTTTGACAACAATAATTTTTTCCCATATTTTACCCTCAACATTAAATACTTATTCTCCAAATCATTTTCCAAGACCTAAAACATCATTTAATAAGGATAGTTTGGTAAAATACCTATATCAATAATAATTTCCTTAATGGGTGTGTCAAGTCAAACAGTGACAAGTAAAAGTGAATAGAGAGAGTATCATTTAAGGGATATCTCATAGTCTTTCAATAATGTTTTTCAACACCAAAGAATCAGTCTCAACAATCACCTTCTCCACTTACGTTATCTTTATGTATTTCAGTGCATGTAGGATGGCCATTGCTTCAACTTGTAGGTTAGTGGTCATAGGGTCCTCAATCTCCCTTGCTTGTGTCTGAACTATTTTCAGTACTATCTCTTACACAAAATCTCTAAGAGGAGTTCCCCTCCGTCTGTTTTATTTATACCCAACTTGTATCAGGGGGGGGGGTAATTAAAAATTAACAACCAACTTGAAATCACAAGTAAACAAATAGGTTCATTGCATGAGAGTATCACATGAAGTCTAGGGATGGCAATGGGGCGGGACGGGGCAGGCGCAAAGCGGAGCGGGTAATAGTTTTTGTGGGGCAATGCGGGTTAGTATTTTTGCGGGGCGGGGCGGGGCGGGATGGGTACAAAATATTTTAAAAGAAAAATATTTGGGGCGGGGTGGGTATGGGTTAGGGTTTCCTTTTCTTTTGAACTACGACGAAGCGCAATGGAGTGAAGCAAAGAAAAAGCTCTGCCTCTCGGCTCTCTCTCGCTAAATACCATAGAAAGATGAGGTTTTCTACTACCTTTTCCTTTGTTGATTCTTCGAAATGTACTACTCTCCGTATTACAACTGATTCTTCTCCAAAAGCTCGATTTATTGCTCGGCGGGAAGAGTCACTATCTGTAAAGCAACTTCAACGTCCGCTAAGTAAGTTTTCTTGAACAATCTATTTTCTATTCTGTTACTGGTTAACTCTAGTTTCACATAGTTTAATCCAGTTGATTTAGTTAAGTATTTGAGTTTGCTGGCGAGATATTGTTTTTATTTGTTGAGTATTACTATTTTTGGTTGATTTAGTTGAGTATTTGAGCTTGACAGCAAGTGTATAATCCAAATTGATTGATTATTTGAATTTTTGAAGTAGTGAGTGTTGAAACTGTTTCAATCCGCGAATTTGTATGACTTTTAATGGCTAATTC